CCCACAGGTTCAACTACTCAGTCCCTCTGGGTAGCTGGCTGTGACCAAGCAGTGACAACAACCTTCCCCTTGTCAGCTCTACTATACACCTGGGAATTCTTAGTAAACATTCTTAATGGGTACTTTCAACAAACAATTCCTCACCCTAGCCAGGAATCCTAATTCTTGCCCTCCTTGTTTTATAAGCAGTTAGTCTTTGACAAAAAGAATGAATTGTCTTTTCAGCAAAATCAGCAGTGTCTAGGTCAGACTGCAGTTTAATTTAAATAGTTTTAATTTAAGCCTAAAGCTAACCATTTTCAGTTATGCTAGCACCTCAGTTTTAAAATTCACATACTTACATTTTTCAAATGCCGCAGTCAAGCATGGTAGTTAAAGGATGTGGAAATTGATGGACCTCTTTAGTATTGGGAATAAGAACATTTTAACTAACCTTTTCTGTAGACATGGATTTCATATGATGGGTATGCTCTGTGTGTGTATAAAGACACACATATACATTAGTGGGTTTGTCTCTCCTTTGAGGTTTGTAGAATTTGTTTTGCTAGTTATTATCTCTGGTATATGACACATGCCTATCAGAGTTTGAAACCAGTGAGTAGCATATGACACTTGTCCCCAGTTTTTAGTAGGACACTCTTTATTCTCTTTTACTCTGCCTAATCATATGTCTTTAACTTTTGTCCACAATTTAGAAAGATTGTGTGGGTAGATTTTCAGATTGAAATTTTATGGTCTCTTGACATGTAAAGTAGTACAAATATGAACAAGTCAGAAAACTTTAAATTATAAGACACACCATTAATGAGCCTTTTTTCTCCTTTTAGGCTTGCATGCTTGTCTTTCAACCAAATTTCAATGTCACCCTCTCTGAAACAGCAGAGAAGAGTGAAGTGATTATTTGTCTTGATTGTTCCAGTTCTATGGAGGGTGAGGCGTTCTCCCAAGCCAAGCAAATTGCTTTGTATGCATTGTCCCTGGTAGATAAAAAGCAAAAATTAAATATTGTCAAGTTTGGCACAGGTAAGTATTCTGTGGCTCTAAGCCAAAGTGAGCTTCCTCTTTAATATCAACAGTACACTCTTGTATAGACCTGAATCAGTGAACCCAAACTTATTTGTAGATAGAGGTAATATAAGGTTTTTTTTTTTTTTAATTTTTATTGTGATTTGTGTGGAAGTTTACAGGGCAATTTCATTTTCCATACAGCAGTTCATACACATTTTGTCTCATGATATTGACTGCAGTTTCCCACAGTGCAACAGCTCTCTTCCCACTTCTTCCCCATAGTTACATCTTCCCTGTGTCCGTCCCTCTCATGCACTCCTGACCCCTGAGCTGTTTCCCTGTGCATACAACTGCCCTTCTGTTCTCCCATGATGATCTCTCCAAGGAGTATATCTACTTGATGCAAACATTCAGCCCATATGCCAGTTATTTATTTGGCTGGAAGTCAAAGGAGTGAGTTCAATTCTAGGCCTGAAGGACAGCTAGGGGCCATAATCTCAGGGGTTTCACCAGGCTCTATCAGACCAGCAGGGCTGCTTTTTTTTTTTTTTTTTTTTAATAACTTTGAGTTTTGTTCCACATTGTTCTCCCACTCTATCCAGGATCTCCAATACAAATCCCCTTCTGAGTGATTGATAGTAATAGCTGAGCATCATCTACTTCTTCTGGTCTTATTGTCTTATAGGCTGAGGATCACATGGTCTACCAGTCCCTTAAACTAATTGTTTCCATATGTGTTTGGTTTTCTTCATTTTTTTTTTTTTTTTTGTTCTGTACGAAGAGGGACCCATCATTGCATTTAGAGAACCACTTGCAAGCTTTTGAGATCCCAGTTACTACTCACCAAAGTAGGAGGTGGAACAGTGTTTTTGTGTAGTATGTTATGCCAGTGGAGCTTGATGTCCCCTGTGACAGTGGTCCCGAGCCCACAGGTCCAACTACTTGTTCCCTCCGGGTAGCTGGCTGTGGCCAAGAAGTGACTCCAACCATGTCCTTTGTCAGCTCTGCTATATACCTGGGAATTCTTACAGAACATACAAATACCCTTGTAGAAACATTGTCTGCCAACCTGATAGATGGTCATGGGCACACTCCCCCGTACATAGACATACCTAATAGTTCAGCCTGTCCACCCATCTATCCACCCATAGATCATTGTTTACCTTCACTGACAAAGCAGTACTGTATGTGCAAAAAGGTTCATATTTGTTGTCTGTACCTCCCATACACCTCTCTATGTCTTCCTCTTCCTCAGTGCCACCATGTTGATACTCACATTTCGTACATTGCCCTTCCCTTCACCCAAATCGATACTTGTCTATCTAGCAGTGTTCCCTCCCTTTCCCTCCCACCCCTGGTAACCAACAAAGTTTCTTTCCACATATAAACCTTCCCTTGACTTTTTACAATAATGGATTAATACAATATTTGTCCTTCTGTGATTGATTCATTTCACTCAGCATAATGTTCTCCAAGTTTATTCACATTATGCGCTCTTTAGGGTTGTATAGTATTCTATCATGTGTATGTACCATAGTTGGGTTATCCATTCTTCTGTTGATGGGCACCTAGGTTGTTTCCATCTTTTTGCTCTTGTAAATAGTGCTGCAATGAAAATGGGGGTGCATTTATCTTTTCTTGTCCTGGCTATCACTTCTTTAGGATATATATATATATATATATATATATATATATACATACATATATATATATATATATAGTAATGGAATTGCTGGGTCAAATGGTATTTCCAGTTCTAACTTTTTAAGGAATTGCTATACTGCTTTCCACAGAGGTTGTATCATTTGACAACCCCACCAGCAGTGTATGCTAGTCCAAATCTCTCCACATCCTCACCAGCATTTGTATTTTCTGTCTTGTTAAACTTTGCTATTAGTGCTGGGACAAGATGGTATCTCATTATTGTTTTAATATGCATCTCTCTAATGTCTAATAATCGTGAACATTTCTTCATGTGTTTGTTGGCCACCTGAATACCTTCTTTAGTGAAGTGTCTATTCATGTCTTCTGCCCATTTTCTAATTGGATTATTTGTCTTTTTGTTGTTGAGGTGTTAGAGTTCTCTGTGATTTTAGAGATAAGTCCCTTGTCAGATGTATTGTTGCTGAATATTTTTCTCCAATTTTTAGGTTCTCTTTTGGAGGAGTATTTTGAAGCACATAAAAATTGCATTTTTAGAAGGTCCCAGTCATCTAGTTTATCTTCTGCTATTTGTGTATTTTGGATTATGCTTGATAGTCTATTCATGCCATGTGTGAGGGCCCCTAAATTTGCCCCTAGCTTTTCCTTGTGGAACTTTATAGTTTCAGGTTTCATATTTTTGGTCCATCTGGAGTTAGTTTTTGTGTATGATGTGAAGGACAGATCTTGTTTTGTTTTTCTGCAAATGATTATCCAGTTTTGCCAGCACCATTTGTTAAACAGACAATCTCTTCTCCATTTAATGGATTTCAGCCCTTTGTCAAAGATCAGCTGACCATAGGTTAAGGGATCTATTTATGGGTTCTTAATTCTATTCCATTGGTCTGTGTATCTGTCATTAAACCAATATCATGCAGTTTTGACTACTGTGGCTGTGTAGTAGGTTTTGAGATCCAAGAGTGTGAGTTCTCCTACTTTGTTCTTCTTCAATAATGCTTTGCTTATCTGAGGTCTCTTTTCTTTCCATATAAAATTAGTGATTGTTTTTTCCATATCCTTAAAGAATGGTGATGAGATCTGGATTGGGATTGCATTGAATGTATAGATTGCTTTGGGTACTACTGACATTTTTACAATGTTCAGTTTTCCTATCCATAAGCATGGTATGTCCTTCATTTCTGTAGATCTCTTATGGTTTCTTGAAGTAGTGTTTTGTAGTTTTTTTGTAGAGGTCTTTTGTGTCCCTGGTAAGATTTATTCCCAAGTATTTAACTTTTTTCATAGCTATTGTAAATGACACTGATTTCCTTTTCAGCAGTCCTTTTGGTGGTGTAGAGGAATCCAACTGATTTTTGGATGTTGAATTTGTATCCTGCCACTATGCTAAATCTCTCAGTTAGTTCCAGTAGTTTCTTTGCTGAGTCTCTTGGGTTTTCTAGGTATAGGATCATATCAGCAAATAGGGACAGTTTTATTTCTTCCTTATCAATTTAAATGTCTTTGACTTCCCTTTCCTGCCTCCTTGTGCTGGCTAGGACTTCCAATCCAATGTTGAATAGAAGTGGTGATAGAGGGCATCCTTGTCTGGTTACTGTTCTCAAGGGGAGTGGTTTCAGTCTCTCTCCATGGAGAATAATGTTGACTTATGGTTATGTCCTCTTGTTCAGTTGATCCTTTAATCATTATATAATGTCCTTCATTTTGCATATATGTCCTTTGTTATGTTTAGGAATATCCCTTCTATTCCTATTTTGTAGAGAGATTTTTTTTTTAAATCAGGAATGGGTGTTGGATTTTATCAAATGCCTTTACTGCATCAATTGATATAATCATATGGTTTTTTCCCTTTGTTTTATTTATGTGATGGATGTCGTTGGTTGTTTTTCTAATGCTGAACCTGGTATGAACCCTATTTGGTCATAATGTATTATTTTTTTGGTATGTTCTTGGAGTCTATTGGCTAGGATTTTGTTGAAAATTTTTGCATCTATATTCATGAGGGATTTTAGTCTGTGGTTTTCCTTTGTAGTGATGTCTTTGCCTGGTTTTGGTATCAAAGTTATGCTTGCTTCACACAATAAATTTGGGAGGATTCCATCCTTTTCTGTGTTCTGCAATAGTTTGAATGGGATTGGTGGCAGTTCTTCTCTGAAAGTTTGGTAGAATCCTCTAGTGAAAACTTCTGGACCAGGGCTTTATTCTGTTGGTAATTTTTAAATTACCTTTTTAATTTCTTCTTTTGTTACGAGTCTGTTAAACATGTCTATCTCAGTCTGTATTAGTTGAAGTAAGTAATATATTTCTAGAATCTGTCCATTTCTTCTAGATTTTCAAATTTGTTGGAGTACAATTCATCACAGTATCCTGATATTATCCTTTTTATTTCAGTTGGTTCTGTTGTGATGTCACACAGTTTGTTCTATTCATGTTACTTATAATCTCTCCCTCTTTTCCTTTGTTAAATTTGCCAGTGGTTTGTCAATTTTATTAATCTTTTAAAGAAATCAACTTCCTGATAAGAAAATAACTCTCTACAAAATAGGAATAGAAGGGACATTCCTCAACACAACAAAGGGCATATATGCAAAATGAAGGACATATAATGATTAAATTCTTGTTGATTTTTTCTGTTCTTCTATTTTCTTTTTCATTTATTTCTGTTCGAATCTTTATTATTTCTTTACTTTTGGTGACTGTTGGCTTTTTTTTTTTGCTGTTTTTTATCTAATTGTTGGAGCTGTTTGGTTGAGGTTTTGATTTTGCCTCTTCTTTTTTGCTGTGTATTTATGGCTATAAATTGGCCTCTGATCACTGCTTTTGCCATACCAAAATCTTTTGTATGTCCAAAAGATTTTAGTATGTGGTGTTTTCATTCTTGTTTGATTCAGTTAATTTTTTCATTTCATTTTTTTAATTTCTTCTTTTACCCAGTTGTTTTTAAGAAGGGTGTTATTCACTTTCCATGTGTTTGCTTTTTTTCCATTGATCTTCCTGTTAACTGATTTCTAATTTTAAAGCATTTTGATCTGAGAAGATGCTTTGCAGTATATCTCTGTTTTTAAATTTCTTAAGGCTTGCTTTGTGGCCTAACATATGATCTTATCATGAAGAATGCTTCATGTGCACTGGAAAGGAATGTATATTGTGCCATTGTTGAGTGAAGTGCTCTGTAGTTGTCTGTAATGTTAAGTTGGTGGAGTATTGTTTAGTTCTTCTGAGTCTTTGTTGAGAGTTTCTTTCCAGTTGTTCTGTCTTTCATTGTATGTGGTGTATTAACATCTCCTACTATGACTGTGGAGTCATCTCTTTGTTTTTTCAATTCTGTTAAAATGTGTTTTATTTTGGGGCTCTCT